AATTTATTTTAAGATTCAAAATTAAATTAAAATTTAACTAATATTTAATTTAATTTTCAGATTTTATTAGAATTTTATTAAATCTTATGTAGGATTTACTTATGATTTATATTTATAATATATTTTAGGATTTTTTTTACATATTATTTTAGATTTTTTTATTATTTTTTAAGAATTTTTGTATAATTCTTTATGATTTCTTGTTATTTTTCTTATAATTTCTTTAAGATTTTAATTAGATTTGATTAAGGTATAATTAAGATTTTAAAGATTTAATTTGAGATTATTTAGAATTATTTATGAATTTATTTAGAATTTCTTAAAGATATGATAGGAATTATTTTGAGATATTCCATGTATTTACTAAAATCATTAGTAGGCAATATTATTAGTTAGAATTCAATATGGATTGTGTTGTATTTTTTTTAATATATATATGATAAGATAAATATGTGCTTATTGAAATTTAAGCACATGGTTTAGCTTGTATAAGCATCAACTTCACCATATAACCATCAATTTATAGATGATTTTTTGAAATACTTACTTCTTAAGAATAGTTTAATGCTATATAGTTGAAATTGTGTATATCAAGTGCTACATATAATATAAAATAGGCAACCCATTTTTGATAACTTGAGCATTTTAACGTATTTTCAATAAGTGTAAAAATAAAATAAAAAATACTTTCATATAGAAAAATAAAAATTAAGAAAATTTAGAATATTTTCATAAAATTTGGTCTAAAAATAAAATTATATAAATATTTTAGCTAAAGATTTTTTTTAATCTATTTTCAACATATAAGCCAACTTAATTTTGATCAATAGTAGATTATAAAATTAAGAATCCAATTTCTTTTAAATCAAGAAGTATATTACCTAATATTCCATTTCAATCAATTAAAAATTGAAACCTACATCAATAGTATGGCATATTTATTCTAAAAATAATAAATTTTATTTATTATTCTCAACTTAACATCATTTTAATCAGCTTCCAATCTATTTCCGACCAATAGATGTTAGGCCTAGTCAACAATAGATCATTGAACTAATAGAAAGATTATATTCCATAGATTAGAAATAGTGAGGTGATTGATAATAAATTGACTATCTTATGCATTGGCAAAAGTATTACAAAATCATGTTTTTTTTTATTGAAAATTGTATTGTGTATCTTGCCATTGGCATTAAAAACATATATGTTATTTATATAGTCTACCATATTTTAGAAAGACAACATTTTAAACTTGATTTTTTTCTAGATTTGGATATTCATTCAAAAATTTAATATTTTAAGATATTTCACCATATTTAATGTCCATTGGCATAATTGAGATTATAATATGTAATTGTAGTAAGATTGTTGTGGAATAAAAACTTTTGAGAAATACATATTCAAGAGACACTATAGTACGATCTTTCAAACACCTACAAATCTCTCTAGTTTATAATAGTAGATAAATGTACAACTTGATGTGGCTGAAAGCATTGCATGGCATCATCTAGAGATACAATAAGGATCACTTTAACTAATGCTGGTTTAGGATCATTTGAGACAAAAATTACACTAAGAATACATTATCAACTTCATAAATTTTACAATCTTTCTTAGTATAGAATCAAAACTATGCTAAGTACTGCAACTCAAAAAAACATACATATATATAATATAGTATAATAGTTGCAAACCATCAAAAGCAAAGTCGACTTGATACAAATTAGATTCTAAATGTAAGGTTATTCTACAAAAATGAAAATCCATCATATGTTGAAAAATTAATTGGACTAATACTTAAGTCTTGAAAATATAAGGCATTTGTATCATTGACATGCAAGGACATCAACAAATTAGAATTTTGAAATTCTCATAGAGCTATGTTTATAAGCTCTATCTTTAAATTATTCTTTGAAAGTTCTTGAGCAAGTTTCATCCATCTTGTCTTTTATTCAATTTTATTTTAGTCAGAATAATTTCATCTACAAAAAAAATCTGTACCAAAGTGGAAGTTTTAATTCTTGTTGGCACACTTCAAAATAGCGCAAATACAATACATGGTATTAAATGAGTTTTTGTGGTTCTTTGTCTACATCTAGATGTTTTTTACATCCGCCCTTGTCTTTGTTTTTAGCATCTTTATATTTCAATGACACTTTTCATAATGTTTTTCAACATGAACCAATCATCTCTTAGGCACTGAGGTGAATAAAGTTTGAAATGATATCTAAAAATCTCATTTAGATCAAGAGCATTTGGATCTTTCATTACAAAGAAAACCATGTGTAGCCCTTGTAAGTTCTAAATCCTTGATATTGTAGTGTGTATATTTTAATACCTTAAGACCTAAAATCCAAACCTTTGCAACAATAAACTCATGTTCTTTGTTCTTGAATATGTATATAAATGCATGAGCATTGATTCTTCTTTTTTCCACTTTTTGAAATTGTCTCCTCTTCAACTTGAATCACAAAATGTGTACACCACTTAATAGGAATTTACATAAGTTTTCATCAAATTTTATGAAATGCATTCTCCAAGTAACAATATCTCAAGGATATTGCTAATACTACTATAATTTTTGTTCCTGCCACCTTAATTCTCTACCCACATGTGGTAGATGAAGAATTGTGGTGGCAATAACAAAAACTTTGATGGCATTGACAATACCCTATTCAATACCATATTCTACATTATATTGTAAATGGGACTTGTTTTGAGAGAAATAAATAAATAAATAAATAATAATAATCCAGCAATGATAAAAACACATCATGTATATAAAATAAGGTTTGGATGTATGGTTGCTTTTAAATGCTTTGAATGCACTCAATTCTGCAATGTTTGATGTTCATGGAGATGTTCGTGAATTTTAGATTTATTTATTAGGTGTATACAAACAATAGATTAGGTCTTCCCATACAAAATTCAATCAACTCATAACTCCAAACTTGTAAAGAGTACTTGTAAAGAAGTATATAATGCCAGCACTTTTTTACATATACAAAATATTGATATCTTGTAAAAAAATATTTAGTTTGAAGAAATAGTAATTACAAGTTTTAGTACAATCATTACACATGATAACCATAATTCTGACATTGTAAAAAAAATCTGATTTATGTGGATTAATACACTAAACCAGCATAAAAGGTTAAAATGACCCAGACTTTTGTTAAATTGACCCACTTGTCTAAACCATCATTGCACCCCTATCCCCGTTCCCCCCTTTCCCATCCCCCATCCCCCGTACGCATGTCCCCCCTCCCCGAGTCCTGAGCAGTTGTAGCTGTAGTTGTCCCCCAAACTCCTAACTCGCGGGACGGTCTGAAAGGTCTCGACGGGCGAGAATGGGGCGGCTGGAGATGGGGTTGTGGACGCAAAGTGTGTGTTGGTGGCCAGTACTAAATTATTTCTAATTATCTGTGTTTTCAGCGCGCTCACTTGCCCACTTTTTTTCCGCACTTTCAGCAAGGCAAAACCTGCTCCCCGTGACTTCCAACTGCATCGACGTCGCGTTAGAGAATGTAAGGGTCTAAGGCTCGCTTTGGAGCTTCACAAGAGACCGCCGAAATTGTTGCCAGTGGTCGCAGCGATAGCTCAGCTTCCGCTCCAAACTCGCGAAGTGATCTTGAGGGCATCGAAGCTTCACGAGAGATTTTAGCAAATGAAGAAGAGAATGATCCAAGTTAGATGTCAACAGCGATTGCATGACCCCCACATTCAGAGTCTCTTTATTTCTTTAGCCTTCAGTAACTTTTCTTCTTTCTTGTTGTAATCGCATGATACAGAAGCGCAGCATAGTCTTGAACAATAGCATTTTCTGCTGCAGACAAGTTAACCTGATTAGTTCACCAGTATAAAAACATCCCTAAGGATTGTATATCTTGTGACCTAATTGTCGCCTGGTTCAGTGGTGAACTTAGAAGTCACGACTTTCCTTAACGTAGTCGACGTACTCGCAAGCTGACGCAACAATACACATGTTCGAGTATCAACTTAGATGTAATGTTTACTAATTTAAGCATTTGTAGATGATCGATGAGGTCACGCAAGCAATTAATGGCGTTTCCACAGATCCCCCGATCACAAATCTCCCTACGTGTACTATTTCGTGATACAGCAAACCATCAACCCGCCGCTACAGGAATTGGAATCCGACTGTGGACTTGTTGCCCATATGTATTTCAAGGGACTACTGCGTTGAAGAGAGCTTCTGTATTTGGGGTGCAAGCACAGAATGTGGGTTCAACTGAACTCGATCCCACTAGCATTCAGAATGCGCTTGCGGCAGGGAAGCTGAGAACATCTAACTTCATATCTTTGTTACGCTGCAGCCTTCGGGATGTAGGAAATTACATGTTTCGAATATGATCGTGGTTTTGGAGTTACTTAGCACCTGCATGAATATGAGAACTGCGGCAAGCCTTGCAGGAATGGTTGGTTTTCTCCTTCTCTACATTTGAGTTGAATAGCTAACAAATTGTTTGACCTCCATAACATGATATTGCCCAATGCAATGACTTCCACAATACAAAACATTTTCTATATCATCAAAATAAAATTAGTTTGAAATAGATTTTGTAATATAACCCAGCTGCTCCTTTCCAATAGCTTGACCTGTTTCTCTTCGTCTCTGATTGGGCCCTGTTGTATATAGAATTCTAAATTGTTTTTTCCTATATCATAGAGCATTACTTCCATAATATGATGTGATACAATTAGTGCAAAGTACCGAAGAGAGACACACATGCCAATTACCGCTTTCATTATCGTTTAAGTTCATTTTTATCTTGTCTGTACTTCATTGTACAGTTTATTTGGAAAGAAACATCCAACGACGCAGGGTTCGATTTTAAAGCAGCTTCAAATCAGATATAAATTTGGAGGCATTTGTTAATACTTTATGAAGAATTACCTTGTGCGAATACCTTTGATGGAATGCCTCAGCTTTTGAAGCACGCAGTATAAAATGCATTCTTAGATACAAGCGTAATGGATAGTGCAACGAGAGCATTGTCAGATTCATCCGTTTTATATTTATAGAGTGTAATGGCCCACACGAATGACAGTCAATCCACTGAATCCGAATCTGAATACACAACAAGCATAATGGGCTCTATAGTAGGATGAAGCCATTCGATCATAATAAAGAATATCGGTACTCGATTGTGAAAGAGATCTGAAATTCTGTAGCATCACCGTTCCTCAATTTCCTTGGTAATCCTGCGAACAGAACAAAAATGAAAATTAGGTTGTAAATAAGTCAAATACACACTGCAAACCGATCAACTACAATCAAGCGAGGTTTGAGCGTACATACATACAAGCGCACTCCGTAGTCCTGTGCGAACTGGCCGACTTCACTGCAACGTGTGTGTGCACAGACAGTGAAGGTTAGTGACAAATTCTCTCCAAGAGGCTCCACTCCATGAAGCTTCAGATCAATGCTGCTCTCAAGCACTAGTTCGGTCAGCACTCTGGACGGGAGTCGGGACGGGGGGCATGGGCTGAGAACGGGCGGAACGGGGATGGGAACGGGGAAATGGGGAACGGGGACGTGGTGCAATGATGGTTTAGACAAGTGGGTCAATTCAACAAAAGTCTGGGTTATTATAACATTTCCCTATGTACTGGGCTAAATGGTTAGTCTTTTAACAGTACAGGAAAGTAATTGACCACATTACAAGGAACATCGATATAATTTATTATTAAAAAATGAGAACAACCCAAATGTTAGCATTGTAAAACTGGTTCATATTATAATTGGAGTCCATCAAAATACATCAGGGTTGCTTTTGTGTCTTTGTGCTCATTCAGCACATTTGAATGGAAGATTCAAATGCCTGAATATTAAATCCTTGTGTTATCATTGCCCTTGAATTTGAATTTATGTAGGCGCAAATAATAATGTTTGTAACAACATAGAACTATAATGGGTACATAATGTACTGTGACAAGTACTTTGATAACAACCATTTCAAGCAGGATGTGTGGCACAATTTCTTTTTACTCGCAAAGAATTATAAAATTTCCAATAATTGGCATAGTTAATTACCCCAATTATTAGTATTTTTACAGGTAATTGTCAATTATTTAAAGGGGTTTTCCAGCTTTTGTGCAAAGTTTTTGAAGCCAATCGAATCTACGAAAGAAAAACCATATTTTATTTTTAAAAAATGTATGTGTATGTCATAATAATGATAATGATAACTTCTGGGGTGCAGCATTTGCTGTGGACCAACATGTTAAACTACTCTTATCATACTCTGCTTGTCAAGATGTGACATGTGGAATGAAATGAAGAGTTGCCATCAATTTTAAACTATTAATAGTGATAATAGTAATCACAATACTCAATATGTAAAACATCATATTTTTATTTTTTATTTTTTTCATGTTTGTATCCCTCTTTCTTTCTTTCCTGCTTTTGGTGAGTATTGTTTTAGGGGGAGAGAGATTTTGTCAGGGTCTGGATTTTGTGGTTTACAAGCAAAAAGGTAAATCATCTTTTATTGTTAGCAATACAGAGTGGCTACTGGATAGAATTTATGTAGGAATATCACCTTTTTAGCTTTACAAATAAAAAAAAATAAAAGTTGTGTTCAGATACAATACATCCAATAATTTTATTCAAGTATAAATAGCATATCGATGCTATTTATATGTTGAGAAAATATTATGATTTGATAAAAAATAGTATAGCAACTAATTTTTTTCAACATATTCTTATTAACAAGGATTTGTTTCAAACAAAGTCGTAATCCATGTGTATCAAGATTTTTCCTCAAATAGTATTAAAAAAAAAAAAAAAAAAAAAACAACAACAACAACAACATCATCAACATGTTCTAATGTTTCATTATTATTTTCTTCGTGGATGAATTCTTCAAAAAAGTACATATATTTATTTTATTCGAGCATCAGTAAAAAAAACCAAGAAAAATAATTGTGTATTTTCCATTGTTGTTTCTATCAATGAATCTATTGTTCACCAGACTTTGCCCAAAAAGAAAAATAAAAGAAAAAAATGAATAATATATATAGGGGAATGGGGACAGGGTTGAAAGGGTACAATGATGGTTTAAACATGCAAGTTGATTTAGTAAAAATTTGGATCATTTTATCATTTCCCCATTTATATATATATATATATATATATATTCTTAAATTTTTTACCACTTGTTGTTAAAATACATTTAAATTTTAATATAAAATTCCCCTGCGTTCTTTACTCTCCCGTTAAAAATTCTCACATAAGGGTAGATGGACGGAGATGAGGAAGGGCAGTGCACGCAGAGAGAACACACAACACAGAAGACACAGACACACTGCATTTGTTCCCCTCGTGGGCTTGGCCCTCCCCCTCTCCCTCGGATTCTCTTCCGCAGACGTGAGGCACCGGCTTCGATTGGAGAGCAAAATTTCAAATCCAGTCTCCGCCTCGATTGGGGCGGTGGTGGTGGATCCAGAAACCAGGCGTGGGGGGTGGGGAGACAAGGAACCCAGCCCGACCCTGCCCAATCCAGCCCGGCCCGTCCTCCACTGCCCTGAAGGCACACACCTCAGCCACTCATGGCTGGCTCCCTGTGAGTGGGCCCCTTCGCCATTCCCGCAATCTCTGCAGCCAGAGGGTTTAGAAATAGTCACTCCACGGCGGTGAGAATAGGGTTCTGGACTACCATGGATGAATACGTAATGGCCTCGTTGTACATACCAGTATGAAATTAAGAATTAATTCTTTTTCAATTTTCTTGAAACGTACATAAAAACACACAAAAAAAAAAGGAAACAGAAATAGTTATTGAAAGAATATAGTCCACACCAATTATGTAGGTTGAGTAAGTTTGTGCATGTACAGTTGCTTATTATTGAATGTTGAAATATACTGAAACTATGTACTTGTGTGTGTGCAACAGTTCAAAAAGAAACTCCTGCATAGTAACTAGTAACCATGGACAACAAATGAATAAACAAACTTGCATGTTTGTTGCTTTTTATACATACATATACACTCTGCATGTTTGTTCAACTTTGAAAGCCCAGACACAATTTTTTCTTACATTGGTATGGTTGACTTAAGGACTTGAATGTTTAATAAACTCCACACCACCACTTCCACAAAGTCTTCTCCCTAATAACTGTTCTGGAAGGATGAATGGTAGTGAACAAAGAGCAATTTTGAAGTGTGGTGGTTGGATCATCAGCCTTAGCCATGGGTGACACACCTGGATTTTTCTAACCTAAGAGTGGAATGATTAATTTGCTAATGAAGCCAACCATTAGTGCAAGGGTTTCAATTTGAAAGGGGGGGGGTCACATTAGGGTTGGTTTGTGTTGGAATTGGAGACAGAGAATGAGGATTATGCCCCAGTTAATAATTGGTTTTGGGGTTCATCCAAGCTACTGCCTCCCGTAGGTGAAAAGTTTCATTTTCAAAGCATAGATGGTGAACTTTTAAAGTTTTTCTGTTTGGGGTTCCACTTTGCCTATTGTGCAATAAAGTTGACACGTGGTATGTACATTCTAACATGGTTTGACAAACTTAGTGTTTCGTGTGTAAATGTTAAAGCAAATTCCAATTTCTATACTACTGAAAGAATGACTTACATCCACTGTAGTATCTCAAATTGCCTTCTCAAACGCAGTTGCCCTTATTGTTCTGTTGCTTTGAATCACTGTGCAACAATAACAAAAACAAGCAAAGTGGGTCCCACAACACATCCAATTTACTTGGTATTTGCCAATAATATTAATAGATGCTGAAAAAAGAAGAAAAAAGGGGAGAAAAAGAGAAAGGAACGAAGTGGGGATATGACATTAAAGAGAATTGCAGCAAGTGAAGGCACTGAGACGTATTCAAAAGAATTAAATGAAGAGTTAATTTGAATGGAGAGTGCCAAGCAATGGCCGCGTGGTGAAGAAAGAGAGAGGGAAACGAAAAAAAAAAAAAAAAAAATCGGTTCAGGCTTGGGTTGAATTAATCAATTCAGCAGTGGGCCATTGAAGGAAGGGCCCTACAGCAATTAGGGTTTCGGTCTCCTTGCGTGATCGTCTGCTGTAGCGACAGCACAGAGTGCAATTTTTTTGAAAAATGCCCCCCGCCGAGAGGCACAGGGTTATGACACACCCGCACCGAATCGGACCAATGTCTGTCGAAATCGCAGCATACTCAAACGCTCGACAAGGAGGGAGAGGAGGGAGAGGAGGGAGAGAAGGAGTTCGCACCACGGGCAGGAAAAGCGTGGGAGCGAGAGACAGCAACCCATTTAAACAAGGCATAAACTAGTGGAAAAAAAAAAAAAAAAAAAAAAAAAGGAAAAGAAAAGAGGAGAGATCGCGCTCTCCTTCCAAATCCCACGCAGGACCATGCGCACTGCCCAGACCCGTCGCGGAGATCGCTGCCACTCTTCGCCAGAGCTTTCGCGGATTTTGAATGGGGGACAGCTTGGACAGAGCATGAACTCAGGGAGGAAGAAGGGGCCTTGGAAGGGACGCCGAGGTGGACGAGACGGGTGGCGGGGCTCTTGGGTTTCGCCAATTGAGTGCGTTGCAGGATCGTTTTCCCGGTTTCTCTGTGTCACACGCATCTGTGCAATGAGATTCGAATTGGGTGGGAGGGTAGAGTAGGGTAGATTTATTTAACTGTTTTCGCTGTTTGCCCCTCTTCTCCCCTTTCCTTTAACTATAATTTTGTTAGTTTTCGAATTGGTTTGGCTTTTTCCTGGGAAATCTTGGGAATTTTATTTCTTGGTTAGTGGCGGATCCGTTCTGTTTTGATGTGGTGTTGATGTGCGGATTATTTGTCAGTGTGATTTAAGTTTATCTCTATATGTGATTTTTTTTTTTAAAATTTTTAGTTTTATATATGTTTTTTGTAGTTGGAGAATTGCGGTGTTCATTGTAAAGGGACGTTGGATTTACAGAGTTTGGTTCGTGTGGGGTGTGAGTGTTTAAAGGTTGAAATCTTGGTGTACATTTTTTCTTTTGATCCGGTTGTCGAGTTTCGAGACAGTAAATTTTTGTGTGGTTATTTTGTTGGGCTAATTTAGTCGTGAGCCTGCTTCGCCATTTGCTGCGTAAGCACTTCATTGTCGGTAGTTAAGTGTACTGCAGGTGACTCGTAAGCAATCAGGTTTGTCATCATTTTTCCTCGGGATTTTGAATTTGAGAGCTGGCTTGCCATTACGTCTGTCAAGAGTAAATACAACGTGTTTATGTGCTTGCCCTCTCTGCTATCAAGATGGCTTCTATGTGGGAGAAGCTGTTTGTCCTGTCTTCTCTCCCAACTTGATAGCTAGAGTTCATTTGAAGCATCAATTAGGTTCCTCTGTTACTCTGATTGTCTCCCTACGCACAATTCTTTTATATATCAAGTTCTTCCCCAGCTCACAAGCAAGCGTTCTGTCGAGCGCTGTCAAGGGGTTGGCTTCGTTGCATTGCACTTCTTGAACTCATCTTCGCTTTCCGCTTCCCTCAGCGTCACCCCTGCACTGTTAATGTGCGTCTAACTGATTGTTCTTTGTAGTTAGTTTTTATTTTTATTTTTTATTCTCATTTTGTTCCGCCTGTTCCTTTCCCCTCGCCGTTCGATTGCATTTCTATCGAAAGACAAGTAGCGATACAGAAGTTTTCTCATAAGTCCTCTCAATTCCAGGGCTTCTACTCACACAATTCCTTTCTGAGCTGTTTCGAGCGTGATTACTCATTGCATCATTGAGACGCATTTTTAATTATCCGAGTTCGAGTTAGCTGCTCTTTGCTACAGTTACTTCAGTTCCTAAACAGGTTTGTCCTGCAAAATGTGTGACTTTTAGTATGCACACATCAGCCTCTCCGCTTCTCCGCTTCTTTCTACGTGCTGTTGCGATATTCCAGTACTTTGAGCTTCTTTGCTGGTAGCTGCCAAGATTCTGCTATGTGGCAATAACTAGCACCTCTTCACGTCTGTTTAGGCTCCATCTTATTCCTTTCTAATACAAGCTTTCGCTCTAAGCTTCGCACAGTGGGTAGCTTTGAGAATGCGTTTTTGCTTCAAGTTTTCACAGCTCACGCGACGGTAGACACGTCCACCTGTGCGTGAGCAATGTGTCAAGGCCGCCTTTGTTAAGGGCGTTCACAGTGCATACTTTCTGAGCAACAGGTGGCGTCTCTGTTTGAGCTGCCTTCTCTTCAGCGAAGCATTAACCATCACCCAGCCACTTTTTATTCATAGTGATTTTCCCACCTTCCTGCTTGCGATTTCGTTGACCTAACGCTTGAATAATCTCCTGTCTCTCCCTTGGAACTGAAGCCCGTTCTCGTTCTGGTGGTATCAAATTCGACAAAGTTGAACTTCGTGGCAAGAGTTTGTAGTGGTATGCTCTTAACGTTGGCAATGGTAATGGTGATGACTTTCTGTCGCATCTTTACGATGCGCTCTCAAACATTTACTGCATAAGCCGTGCAGATCGGCGAGCGTCCAATTTGATGGACAATCGAACGGGCAGGGTAAGAGTGTAGTGTAATCAGTGGGCAAGACTATCATCCGAGCTTGTATCACACAGGACTCGGGAAGAATAATAAGCATTAGGTCAAAGATTTGCCACGATTGAGAAATCAAGGAAGTGCCTGCCTGTTCGCTCGCCCCTCGAGCACGTACTCGACCGCAGCAATGGATGGGTATGAAAAGCTGGAAAAGGTTGGGGAGGGGACCTACGGTAAAGTGTACAAAGCAAGGGACAAGAGGACAGGTCGATTTGTCGCGCTCAAAAAAACTAGGCTGGAAAACGAGGATGAAGGAGTCCCTTCGACGACTCTTCGAGAGGTTTCCCTCTTGCAAATGCTTTCTCATAGCATCTACATTGTCAGGTACCTTAGAAAGAAATCCGATCTCAATATGCGCCTATCTGTATTATCCTAACAACAATGAGGTTTCTGTGAAAAATCGAGGTGATTGCTTGCCGTGTCAGCAGCTCGTCATCTGTTTTTATGAAGTAATGCGCAATTCAATATCGTAGATGGAACTATCCTTCAACGTGATGCCCAGTGCGATGGTTATGGTGATTTTTAACGCCAGTCTTAGGGTTACTGTGGATGTCGACTTAACGGGCAGCGTGCACTGTTTTTGTTTTGCAGATGTCCACTTGGCAGTCACAGTTTGTCGTTTTTCCCTGAGCTTAACGCTATTGTACTGATCCTTTTGTCTTCATGTGCAGGTTGTTATGCGTGGAAAGTGTAGATGAAAATGGGAAACCCCAACTATACTTGGTCTTTGAGTACCTCGACAGTGATCTCAAGAAATATATTGACTTGCATGGCCGAGGCCCTGGCACCAACCCTATTCCGGCAAAGACTGTTCAGGTATAATGAATTTTCTGATCTTAATTGGGATGTGCCTAGAAGGGCCTGGACAGGTGATGACTCTAGGATTCTCTCCTGATTTTTCATGAAATAAGTTTTGCTAAATAATGTATGACATTCCATTGCATACAATCAGTACCCTCAGAATTTTCACAAAATATGCAATATGTACGCGGAATTTACATCATCAGCATTTTCTGCCTACCCTATCAAACTGCGACACGCGGCATTCTCTACACCAACACTCTCTCCTAACCGAATCTGTGTTTTTGGTGGGGTACAGAGCTTTATGTATCAACTCCTGAAAGGCGTTGCGCATTGCCATAGTCATGGTGTGATGCATCGGTACAAACACGAACCCACGTAATTTCTGTTGAACATGAATTTATGTTTTATGAAAACGGGTAATCCTGATGTTTTTCAATTGCTCCATGATTTCTCAACATTCAAATTGCTTTTGATGATGATGTTGCCAGGGACTTGAAGCCACAGAATTTGCTAGTGGACAAAGAGAAGGGTTTGCTTAAAATTGCTGATTTGGGTTTGGGCAGGGCGTTTACGGTGCCTCTCAAGAGCTACACTCATGAGGTTTACAACTATGCAGCACCTCTATCCATTGATGCTTCTAAGGACTCGCCTTTGTCCATTGAGTGGAGTTCATATACTTAATTTCTAAATTACTTTCTCGAAGTTGAATAATTTCCATTCGTGGGCCTTTCTTAATGCAGATTGTCACGCTATGGTATCGAGCTCCGGAGGTCTTGCTGGGAGCCAGTCATTACTCCACGTCTGTGGATGTGTGGTCTGTGGGCTGCATATTTGGTATGTAGCTGTCACTTGTTGGCCATGTTGAACCGTATTTCCCTGATACGTAAAGTTGATTGTTTGAGTTTTCTAAGTGCTTACAATGTGCGCTTCAATTTTGTGCAGCTGAATTGTCTCGCAAGGCCCCTCTCTTTCCCGGAGACTCAGAATTGCAGCAACTCCTCCATATATTCAGGTCTGTTAAGCTCCTCGTCAGTAACAATATAATCGTTAACTAATTTTTTCCATCTATTTCTTAACATTGTCCTGAATGTTACTTCTGCCTGAGTAAAACATCTGTTAATCATCGGCATAACAATTTTTTAACCAGGTTCAAAGTTGAACTCAATCCCCTGGCTTTGACTGCTTCTAAACTGAACAGACCATCGAACGTGTTTCTGAGGCTTGATTTGTTGCAGGATGCTTGGTACGCCTAAGGAAGAATGCTGGCCTGGAGTGAATAAGCTTCGAGACTGGCATGAATACCCACAATGGCCCGCTAAAGACCTATCACTAGCTGTACCAGACATGAGCCCTGATGCTCTGGATCTTCTCTCTGTAAGTGGTTGATATCTGTTAAACAATGATTCCCTCAAGTTTTTATTAGGCATCTGAGCTGCACACAAACATTCCAGTCATGAAGTCTATGTCTTTTTCAGGCCCTAGGTCTATCTGCGGCTCTTGGGATGGCCCGGGCTTATATACCTTTCTTGTGTCTGGTATCGCAGAGAATGCTGGTGTTCGACCCTGCCAAGCGTATCTCAGCTAAAGCGGCTTTGCACCACCCATTCTTTGACGACCTTGACAAGTCCCAATTTTAATTGTGGCCGCAAACATCTTATGGGCTTCATGTCGTTCAGCAATACGTGAATATTCTTACACTCTGCATCTAGTGGGTGCTCGTATTGTGGGTTATGGCTGTGCTACTAACACTGAGAATTCAATTAACAGGGTGGCATGCCTTCACCACTTCAGCTGCTCGTATGTAAGCGGAGTGTACCCAATCTTGCTCTTATCCTGAAAGCTCTAGGACAGCGTTGCATACCAAAAAAAAACTCGAATCAAGCGAATCTCTTCGACTGAGCATCTATCCTCGACTGATCCAACAATCATCCGACGGGGCGGACAAGTCACTGAACTTAGCTTGTCTGCCTTACCAAAGAATGTGCTTCGGCGCAAAGAAACGTTGTCAACTTGATGAAACTGATGTTGAAAATTCAATAATGAAGCATGATATGGAAGCCAATGTCAATGCTGAATTTATATTATTTGGAAAAGAAAAACTATACACTTAGGATTTGCACCCAAAAACTGGTGAATCCTGAGGAAGTTCTGAATCACTGTTTATGTTGTACTCTCGTTAGTGGCTTTTAAAGGGCTGGTCACTGTTCTTACGCTTTTTTTTCTTGATAATCAATCCTTCTATCTCAAAATGGATTATCTTAACAGCACAAAATTTTGTGCTAAATTCGATCATCAAGTTTGTTGGTACATGAACAAACGTCAACAGGCCAGAGAGCACCTAGTGTTGAAACGGTACTCGCTAAACAGCAAAAGGTTAAGAATCTTGAACAATGTAGTGAACCTGTTTGGTATCTTTCGTTTTTTTACCATCCACGCACAAGTTGGACTGATATTGGAAGTCTAGTGTTGTCGGTAAGTACTAAAAATGAATGTTTCACTCAACATCATATTATTACCACAACTGATTATATTTGCCCTGTGTCCGAAAAACGTGGTATATATCTGTGAGAGATTTGAGTTTTGTTTGAGATTGTTCAATCTTTGAATAATGAATGTCGAATTTAATATTATGTTGCAGAGCCGTTTGTGTGTACTCTTGCACTGATAATTTTTTTAAATCTACAGTTATGTATATATAGTTTTTGTGTCAAATCAGATTATGAAATATGTTAATTATTCGATACTGAAACATGGGACTTGAAAGATTGTGCTTATGTAAACCAAAGAAATGAAAACTTCACTTCTGTTGGTTTAAAAACACTAATTCAAATTATTTATACAACATCTAAGTTAGAAAATGATTAGGAGTAATGTTTGCTGAATCCATTGATGACTTAATTACTAGTTTAAAATATTAAATGTTAATTCCTTAATTCTAAAAATAGATTTAAAACAATTGTTTTTTAAAGTATTGAATTACTTTATTTTAAAGCTGTAACTAATTTTAATTTTTTCAGTGTAAATAAATAAATACCAAATCCTCTTTAGTTTGCCACAAAACAAAGATTTTACTAATTTTTTCTAAACCGTATTTTTAAAAAATTTATAACTATTTGTTTACATTACACATAAACACAAATCTAGCATAAAAATAATTCTAAAAAAATGGATAAATGAATCAAATTTCTTTTTGAATAAAACGGTCAGAGATCATTTTTTAAATAATTTCTAATATAATGTCTACACATAAATTTCTGATTTAAGAAAATTAATAACCAAAATATTTGTATATATATATATATATATATATATATATACATATACATATACATATTATATAAACCAATTTTAGTATTATGTGTGTTTTAAAAATGTTATGTATAATTGCTACATTACTTAATATGAACCGAAATCAAATTCTATTTAACATCTTAGAAATTAGATTGAAGTTTTTGTTTACCAAAATTCAGAAAATATAGAATCACAATCTTAGTTTTTTAATGATATACTCGATGTTGCATTTATCTTTTTTTAGTATATTGCCAAAACGTGTATGTATTAATCAAAATTTTATGAAAAATATCTTTTTTTTTTACCAAGAATGCATATATTAAAATATTTTTTATATTCATTACATACTTGTTAGAAATATTAAAAAATCAAACTATAAAAATAATAAAAATAAAAATAAAAACAATACTATATAACTAAATTCTTAATGTATGTTTATATTAAATAATATAACATATGCAAATGTAGACAATATATATATATATATATATATATATATATATATATATATATATATATATATAAAATGATGACATATATTGTTTTTAAAAATTTGAATCAAAATGAAAATGTAGATATTCTCAAAGATACAAAGACAATTGAATGTTTAAAAAGTACAAAAGAAACAAAATACTATATTATAAAGATATTTTATATATTATAAAAAATCTTGAAATTCTATTTAAGATTTGAATTTGTTGCACATTTGTGACAACTCCCTTTTTGTCATGGATATAGAAATACAGACTCAAGATCTAACAAGAAGTTCAAGAAGAACTGGCAAGAATTAGATTAATCAGATGAGAACAACACCAGAGAGGTGAACTAGAGCTCCAAGAGATGTGTTGTCGAGACTGAAGAACTCTTCAGCCTCGATTCCAATATATACTCCTATTTAGGAAGCTTCTCAAGCAACTTCTACCAACTAGGAAGCTTCTAGAAGGTTCTAGAAACTTATCTCTAGAAGGTTCTAAGGACTATGTCCCTAACATCTTCTACCAACTAAGAAGCTTCTAGAAGGTTCTAGAGACTTGCTTCTAGAAGGTTCTAGAAACTTATCTCTAGAAGGTTCTAAGGATTATGTCCCTAACATCACCCCCTCCTTTAGCTTCGAGGTCTCTGAAAAGCAATGTTGTTGTTAATCAGTACCAACACAAGAAAATGAAGATCTGTCGCATAACGTCTGCTATGAACTCCAACTGTTGTTCACGAGGCAAGTGATTCATCGACCCTTGAAGCCAACAGTAGTGGCCCACTCCTTCAACTTCTGACCAAGCATGAACTTCCGTGTCCTCATTGTGAAATTGTCTTGCAAACACACCTTCTAGCTGACCATCGTAAGCAGGCTCGGACTCAAATATAATACTAGTGATCGGTTACTCGGTATCCTCCGTCGTCGTCATGGTATAGGCGATTCTTCATCTCGGGGTCACCTTTGTGAGCTAGTCGGTTGAGATAATCTGACTGGCATAGTATCTATCTCTTGGCTATCCATATCAGAAGACCAAACTATGGCTACTAAAAAAATTCTATTTTATCTTGAAGAAAATAACTACATCAACTACGAATTTTGGTGGTACTTTTCTCCTTTCTTATATTCTTGGGTGAGCAAGCTTCAGAAAGAAGCTATCGTCAAATCGGCTTAGGTTTATGAGGATGTTGTTGATGAAACTCCTATACCTTTTGTGACGCATTGGCGAGATTTTCAACTGGCTCCCACGTTCGTTCATTAATGTCGTAGCCGCACCAATGAACAAGATACTCCAACTTGTCCCACGTTTGCCGTGAATCCAGCACCTTTTCAACCTCGTATTCCTCGTGGTTCTTGATCTCAATACTAGGTGGCGAACATTGCACTCTTCCAGAAAAGACGACTCTCGATAAGGCTCCAATAGAGAAACATGAAAGACTGGATGTACCTTCATAGAAGCCGATAATTCCAGACGGTACGCCATTGGATTGATTTGCTTCTAGATGATAAATGGTCCCAATCTTCAATAGTCCAACTTATCACATGGTCGCTTGGTCTTGATATTCCGTCGAAAAAGCCATGCTTTATCTCTAATTTTGAAAGTAAGTGCTTGATTCCAAAATCTATCTGCAGACGCCTTGTAGGATTCTTGAGCGGATTGTAATTGAAGCTTCAACGTATTTTGAAGCTCTGATAGTTGTTTCACAAATCCTTCAGGTGCTGGATTGTTATTTGTTGACGGACTCAATAAATCAAGCTTCGGATGATACCCATAGTTGGAAAAGAATGGTGTGTATTGAGTCGATGCATGGAGGGTGTTGTTATATGCAAACTTGGCTAGCGACAGATATGTGGTCCAATCGTCTTGCTAATAGTTGATGCTACATTGTAAGTATTGTTCCAAGACTTGGTTCACCCGTTCCGTTTGGCCGTCAGTTTAAGGATGAAAAGCTGAAGAAAGCTTGATATCCACCTTCAGTATCTCAAAGAGAGATTTCTAAAACTTTGATACGAACTGGGTTCCTCGATCTGATACGATATCATCAGTTAGTCCATGATATTGATATACATTATTGAGAAAGAGCCTTGTTGTGACTTCACTGGATGATGTCTTCTTGCAAGGAACAAAGTGCGCCATCTTTGTAAGCCGATCTACCACAACAAAGATGCTGTCAAATGAGTTCGATGATGGCAGGTCTGTGATGAAGTCCATGGAAATTGAAGACCATGGTCGACGTGGAATCGGCAATGGTTGTAGGAGTGCATAAGGGTGATACCAAGGATTCTTGGATCTTGAAAAGATGTCGCAGGAGAGGACAAAAACTTTCACATCCTTCCACATTTGGGGCCACCAAAAATCTCGAGAAATAAGCTTCAACAATGTCGTACATTGTTGATCAAACGTTACTTTTTCAGGCTTTGGTACAAGATATGATCTCCTTAATAAGGCATCAGATAGTCCTTGCTGCTTTTCAGGTCGATAAGTGATAACAAAATCGAACCTAGATAGCAACATACTCCATCGAGCTTGACGTCGATTTAAAACTCGAGCCGACATGAAATACTCCAAATTCTTGTGATCTGTATATATGGTCATTGAGTGTGCAGCTCCTTCAAGAAAATGATGCCATTCTTGGAAAGAATCCACTATAGCAAAAAGTTCTTTATCGTGGATCTCATAATTGATTTCAACAACAGAGAACTTTCGAAAATAGAATGCAACCGGATGGAGCTTCTTGTCTTCTCCCATTTGTGAAAGTACAACTCCCAAAGCAAAATCCGAAGCATCAGTTTCTAAATAAAAGGCCTTTGTAAAGTCTGGATGTACCAAGATTTGAGCCGTAGTAAATGTGATATTCAGGTCTTGAAACGCCTTCACAGCTAGAGGTTCCCATTCCAGCTTATCCTTATATGTCAACCGAGTGAGAGGAGGAGCAACTTGAGAATAATTCTTGATAAAGATCCGATAGAAGTTGGCAAAGCCAAGAACGCATTGTACGTCTCTCACCATCTTCGGAACCTCCAACGACACGATTGCTTCCACCTTCTTCGGGTCCATCTTCAAGTCTTTTTTAGTCGCAATGAACCCCAAAAACTCCATTTCTATTTGGTGAAATAAACACTTCTCCAACTTGGCATATAGTCCTCGCTCGCATAGTTTCTCCAAGACCAAACGAACGTGCTTTTCATGCTCTTCCTCATTTTTGGAGAATATTAGAATATCATCCAAATAGATGACAATAAAATCGTCAAGGTACTCTCGGAAAATATCATTCATCATATGTTGAAAGACCGCTAGAGCATTAGTAAGATCAAAGGGCATGACATTATAATCAAAATGGCCATACCTTGTACGAAACGCTGTCTTCCACTCATCTCCTTCCTTGATTCGTACGAGGTTGTAAGCTCCCCTTAGATCAATTTTTGTAAAGATCCTTGCACGTCCAAGTTGTTCTAAGAGACCAAAAATCAAGGGTAACGGGTAATGATTCTTCTTTGTTACCTTGTTGAAGCCTCGATAGTCCACGCACATCCGCAACGAGCCATCTTTCTTCTTCACAAATAAGATGGGTACTGGAGTTGACGATTTTGAATGATGGATGAAGTTCTTGGCTAGATTTTCATCGATGTCCTTCCGTAACTCCGCCAACTCCGTGTGCGATAGATTG